TTCTGAAGAAGGGTCCAGACCCGAAACGTCAGCTTTCCTGCTCTTCTAATGCTGCCTGGCCTGCTGTGTTCCTCCAGCTCCACACCTTGTGATCCCTAATTGTCATCAGAAAATGTCCTGAATGTATTTTATCAATTCTTCCTCTGGCGACCTCTGCTAATTTGATTTGCTCAATCCAAATGAAGGTTAAAGTTACCACCAATTAATGTCCTGCCTTTTCTACATGCCCTTCTTATTTCCTGATTCAATCTCTACAGTAAAGCTACTCTTAGGAGCCTGAAGAGTTTTTTCCAACAGTATCTTTTTCCTCTTGTTGTTCCTTACCTCTGCCCGCCCAGCAAGAGCTGTCGGCCAATCACAGCTCTGCAACTCTTGTGCTCAGTGGTGCCACAGAAGAGGCTGTGGCTATTGCTGGAACAGCAGCCACAGGATTGAAGAGGATCCAGGGCAAAGGTCAGTCATGTGAACAATGCGTGTGCGTTTCTCTGCTTTTTGGTTGGCGGGAAAGGAGTGATCAGAAGCAAGGATATGTGGGTGGCTTCCACATTGCCCAGGGTCCACCACTTTGAAAAGCGCTGCTGCCCCACCCTTTCTCTGACCTATTCACACATCAGATGGCAACAAGTCTGCATGGTTAATCAAAGCTGCAGTCAACTGAAGCCCTTAAGTAGCTCAAAAATTGATGCAGGAAGAAGGAGTTTCAATTCGTGGAGCACTGGCACCAGTTCTGGAGAAGGAAAGGGTTGTGCACCTGACATGGACTCAACTGGGATCAGTGCCTTGGTGAATGATTTGCTTTCAAAGCCCCATTTACAAACTCAAGTATTCTATAAGGTTTAATAATACCCTATTAATGTAACCTTTAAAAATTTGTAAATGTAAATTAAAGGCATGATATAAAAGCAAAATATCAGTAATTTGATTTATTTTTGTCACGTGTACCAAAATACAGTGAAAAGTTTTATGTACTATCCAGGCAAATCATACCTTATATAAGTACATCAGGGTAATAGAACAGAATGCAGAATATTGTGTTACAGCTACAGAGAAGGTGCAGAGAAAGATCAACTCTAATATATGAGAGGTCTGTTCAAAAGTCTGATAACAGCAGAGAAGAAGCTGTTCTTCAATCTGTTGGTATGTGTTTTCAAATTTTCGTATCTTTTGCCTGACGGAAGAGGGTATAACTGGTCAGATGGTGGTCAGTTACCAATATCACAGAGATGTCCCATCCCTTTCTTTATCGCAGTTTATAAAATATTCTGAAAATATAAAAATATTCTGAAAAACAAAAACTGAAATTACTGGAAAAAAGTCAGGTCTTGCAACATCTGTGGAGAGAAAGCAGAGTTAACATTTTGTGTACGTGACCCTTCTTCAGAACTGTTCTTCATCCTGAAAAAGGGTCACTGGACCTGAAATGTTAACTCTGCTTTCACTACACAGACTGTGCCAGACCGACTGAGTTTTTTCCAGCAATTTCTGTTGTTGTTTCAGATGACCAAAAGCTTAGTCAAGGTTTTAGGCAAATTAAAGGCAGTAGAGAGATGGAGAAGTTTAGCGAGGGTATTCCAGAGCCTTGGATCTTGTCAATTGAAGACAAGGTGGCCAATAGTAGTGTGATTAAAATTGGTGATGTGCAGAAGATGAGAATTAGAGGTATGCAGATTTCTTGGAGGTTTGTTGGGTTGGAGGAGGTTATAGAATAAGGGAGGGACACATGGGAACGTGATGCCGTGTTTTAGGTTAATAACACCAATGGGCAATCTATCTAATCATAGCAAAAACAAAGTTGATGGAAAAGCTCAGCAGGTCTGGCAGCATCTGTGAAGGAGAAAACAGTTCTGAGGAAGGGTCACCGGACCTGAAACATTAACTCTGTTTTCTCCTTCACAGATGCTGCCAGACTTGCTGAGCTTTTCTAGCAACTTTGTTTTTGTTTCTGATTTACAGCATCCGCAGTTCTTTTGTTTCTATCTAATCATAGGTTGGGAATATGGTGTCAACCAGCACTAGCACAGAGATCAAAAGAGACAATTGTGAACCGGAGAGTCAAGTTTACAGCTCAACCCTGCAATACTCACATCAATGTATTCCTGTGGTTTGGGTGACATAAGAAGACATACCTGTTGGTCCACGTTTGATATCTGTAACTATAGAAAACACATTCACAAATCAGCTAGGAATAAAAACTCCATTATAATTTCCTTCACTTTCCAACAAGATCACACTGAACCCAACTTATTGTACAACTTATTTGCATATGATGGGATGGGTGATAGTTTGACAAGATGTGTCAAATAAATAAAACAAATAATAAAATAAATAACAGGAAGCATATGCAGGCACAACATTTTTAAAGGTGGGCAGGAAAGATATGAAGTAGTTAGCTTTGACTACTTGGAATGCTCAGTGATTCTGGCCAGCCATGTTTGCTGCTTGAACAACTTCAACTCCTGAGCCAGAACTGACATTGCGGGGCAGCTGAAGTGGGACAGTGACATGGACACTTTGTCTTAAGAGGCAGTCACAACCCGTTGGTTAAGTAGAACTTTAGAGCTGATCAATTGTCAGGGACAGGGTGGTAAGACTGTGAATCAGGCAGTTGTGGGGATCCAGCAGGGGGTGTGTGTGTGTGAGAGAGAGAGACTTTGTGTTTGTATGTGTGTGGGGAGGGATGGGTGTGTGTGTGTCTGTACGCATGTGCACGTGTGTGTGTGTGTGTGTGTGTGTGTCAATGTGTGTGTTTGTGGTGTCAATGTGTGTGTTTGTGCATGTGTGTGTGCATATGAGACAGACAACGTTGGCTGAGTCACATGAGTATCTGCCAAGCACATGGTGGACAGTGTCCCCACGTGTGATGATAGTGCCCATGTCAAAGATCTGACATGTCTTGCAGAGGTTACCATAACAGGGTTGTATAGTGTTGTGGTTGATGTTGTCCTGAAGGCTTTGTATATACATATTAATCAATTAAAACCTTCTAACTGATTAAAGATTTAACAGCATCTTATGTTTGTTTAGTACATCCTCATCAATGGTGTCAACCTTTGATCTTTCACTTATTAAGTCTGTGTCTGGTATTACCTCTCTCACTAACACCTGGAGGAGGAGTGAGGCTCCGAACGCTTGTGTTTTCAAATAAACCTGTTGGACTATAACCTGGTGTTGTGTGATTTCTGACTTTGTCCATCCCGGTCTAACACCGGCATCCCCACATCAAAGTTAGTGGTATCAATAGAGGGTGTTTCTTGTTGTTGATTGTGGGGAGGGTGGGGAAGTGGATCAGAAGCTAGAGTTCAGTGGGTGGCTCCCAGCAGGCACTACGCTTTTCAATTTCTGGTCCAGTCCTTTAAAATGCAGTAACCCCCTTTAAGTGGCTCAACAGTAGGCAGAATGAAAGGGTTTTGATTCTGGGTATTGGCCTAACTGTTTGAGAAAGAAGGAGTTGCTTAATTAAAGTGGACTTTAAAAAAAAATTGGATACAGGGGTCACTGGCTAAGCCAATACATATTTCCCATCCCTAATTGTCCAGATTGTACAGAATACTACTTGGGGAGTGAAAAGCAATGTGGTAAAAAACAATTAAGAGAGTGGGTCTGGAGTCACATGGCATGTAAAGATGGCTGATTCTCTATCCTAAATGATATCAGTGAACCAGATGAGTTTTTACAATAATTGATAGTGATCACACGGTTGCTATAAGACTAGCTTTTTTTTTTTAAAATTCCGGATTTTTACTGAATTCAAATTTCACCATCTGCCATTTGAATCCATATCCATGGAGCTCTGGATTACTAGCCCAGCGATATTACCATTACATCACAGCTTCCTCCTGGACCCCACGTAAACTGGGTTGGGATCAGTTTCCTGGTGAAGCATTTAACTAGAGCTGTAGCTAGGGTTTTAAACTAAGACAGAGCACAGGGTTCCAGCATGGGGAACTACTCCAAAAGAGAAAAGTCAAATGATTTGGATAAAGGTAAACACAGTGGATCAGGGAGTTTACTAGTAATATAGTGTAACAAGAGTTTGGGAGCAAGTAGTGAGTGTGATGTGAATATAAGTACTGACCAGAGAATTCCATGTAAAGGGAAGTAGGTGTTGTCTTATAAATATTGTTTTTTTCACCTCTAGAAATTGTTGAGTGTTCAAGGCTTTAAGTAAATGAGCAGATTGTTTATTTGGTGAATTTTTGAGATTTTATCCTTCTAAATGCGGGCAGTAGCTTAAACCAAGATTGGGGAGATTGAGTCTTGCAATAAATTTATACATAAACTGGTTAAACTACTTAGTGTAACTACAGATAACAGTTGAGAGACAACTCAACCTGATTATTAAATTTTACTTATCTAAATTAAACACAGTGAAAATGGCAGGATGTGTTGCTTTTGAGGCAAGTGGGAACCAGTGGAGACAATTCACAGCAACTACATCTGTGATTAGTGTCTCCAATCAAAGGAATTTAAGTTTGAATTTAAGTTGATGAGCTGGAGTCCAAGATCTAGAAAGTTAAAGGGAAAAGACAAGGCAATAATGCAGGGTAGCAATATGGGAAATGATAACCAGAGTGTGGCAGGAAGTGAGATTGTAGAGAAATAAGAGTACTCCAGCAAATAAGGTCAGAGTAGGGGCAAATATGAAAAAGGAAGAATGAAAAGCTTTTTAATTGAACGTTTACAGCATTTGTAACAAGATGGATGAATTGACAGCGCATACAGAAATAAATATGGTGCAACAACCATTTCTAGAGACACGGTTGCAATGTGACCACAGCTGGGTCCTGGATATTCATAGGTATTTGACATTTCAAAAAGGCATGAAGAAAGAAAAAGGAAGTGAGTTCATTCTGCAACTAAAGTACAAGAGTGCAACCGACGTGAGAAAAATATATTATTTTGGTTTGGAGGATCAAAATGTAAAAGTGGCTTGGGTGCAGTTAAGAAATAGCAAAGAAAATAAGTCACCAGTGGATGTAACTTATAGGCCCCCTGACAGCAGCTACACTGGAGGGCAGAATATAAATCAAGAAATAATGGGTGCTAGTAAGAAAATATATAGTAAGAATCACAGGGAAGTTTAATCTTCATATAGATTAGACAACATAAATCAGCAAAAGTAGTCTTAAGAATGAGTTCATATGGTTCATTTGGGACAGTGTTTTTGGAAAAAGTACATTCTGGGACAATCCAAGAAACTGGTTATTTCAGATCCAATGTATAATAAGACAAAATTATAGCAAAGGATCCTCAAGCTAAGACTGATTATAACGTAGAATTAATTTTGAGGGTGACAAATTTTTGGCTGGACCTCGAATCATAAACTGAATAAAGACAACTACAAGGATAAAATGATAGATTTGGCTAGAGTGGATTGGGAAAATCAATAACTAAGTAGGACAGTAGAGAAGCAGTGGCAGGAATTTAAGTGGATATTTAACCCATCTCCACAAAGATTTATTCCATTCAGAAAAAGAAACTCGATGAGAAGGATACACCATTTATGGCTAACTAAGGAAGTTAAGAATTGTATCCAATTGAAAGAAAAAGTTTACAATGCTGCAAAGATTAATGGTAGTCCAGAAAATGGGGAAAGTTTAGAATCCACTGAAGGACGACTAAGGGGCATGAGAGAAAATAAGAATGGATAGGAAAAGATTAACAAGTTTACAAAAAGGGACAATAGCTAAAATAAGCATTCATCACTTGGGGGTTAAACTGGGGAATTAATAATGGGAAACAACAAAATGGCAGAGATTTTGAACCAGTATTTTCTGTCAGGTTTCACAGTGGAAAACACAAACAGCATCTCAAGAATGGCAGGAGATCAAGAGTTAAAGGGATGGAGGAACTTAATATTATCAAATCGCTAGAGAAAACGTCCTCACAAAACTAATGGGACAAGTTGCTGGACTTGACAGCCTGCATCCAGAGGTATTAAAGGAATTGACTGCAGAGATAAATGAAAGCTTTTGATTACAGTTTTCCAAAATTCCCTAACTTCTGAATGGACTCCACTGGATTTGGAAACCACAAATATAACATCACAATTCAAGAAAGGAGGGAAATAGAGAACACAAAAATGTATGTCAGTTAGTCTAACATCTGTCACAGGAAAATTTCCAGAATCGATTATTGAGGACATAGCAGCCGGATGTTTAGAAATTCATTATAAAACCACATTGACTCTGTTTGATTGAATGAAAGGGAAGTTGTGTTTGACAAATATGTTTGAGGATGTAAAACATAGGGTGGATAAAAAGGAGACCAGTCAATGTAGAAGCAAATTACTGCAGATGCTGGAATCGTTGTTGTACTGAAAACAACAAACGCCGGAGATCATGGCGGGTCTGTCAATGTAATGTATTCAGATTTCTCAAAGGCATTTGCCAAGAAATCATACAAAAGGTTACTGCCCAAGATAAGAGTTCAGGATTGGCTAGTGAGCAAGAAATAGAGTCGGAATAAATGCGTCAAACTCAGCTTGGCAAACTGTAACCACTGGAGTGCCACAAGGATCAGTGCTATGTATTCACTTATTTTCTGTCCATTGTATTTGGATGATGGAATAGACTCTCTTGTAGCCATGTTTGCAGACGATACAAGGATAGGTAGGAAACTAAGTTGTGAGAGGATGCCAAAAGTCTGAGGATTGGAAGTGTTTTAGAAACCAGAGGGCACCAAAACATTGATAAGAAAGAAAGAGTCAGAATGTGAAAATAAACTAAGCAAAAATATAAAAATGGACGATAAGTGCTTTTGATGTATGTAAAAAGGAGTTTCACTAAAATAAACATTGGCCCCTTGGAGGCAGAAACTGAAGAAATTAGCATAAGTGATACAATAAATATTGTGTCTTTCTTCACACAGAAAAGTACAAGTTACATACCAGAAACAGAGGTCAGTAAGGGGATAATAATTTAGCATCATTAATATTAGCAGAGACAAAGTGCTGGAGAACTAAAGGATTAATATCAAATTGCCAGGACTTGACTGGCCTACATCTTTAAAAGTTTTAAAAGAGATCGCTGCAGATATAATGATGCACTAGTTAAGATTTTCCAAAATTTCCTAGATTGAAGAATGGTCCCAATGAATTAGAAACTTGTAAATTAAACACTGTTATTCAAGAAAGAGAGGGAGAAAAAAACAGA